CCCTAGAATTTCAAATTCTAAAATTGAATTTCAAAAATAGAATCACACAAAAATTTTGGGGCTAAAATGACCTGAGTCCGTCCCTGTTACATACGCTTTCAAACAAAACTGTCTAAAATTGTTAATATTTTTAAATCCAGCATAAAAAATAGGCTAGAATACCAAATTTTATGTCTTTATCTCAACACGTTTCGGAAATATTAAGGAAAACCATCTTCAGGGGAGCCCCTTTAAAAGACCATAGCGCCCTTAGGGGACGTTTGTCGGCCTATGTTTACATAAACTTTTCTTCCTATTTAAAGCTCCAGAAACCGCTGGTAGAATATTGCATACTTTTTTTGGGACACCCTGTATAGTGCTTTCAGCAAAATTAAGCTTATATCTACATAGATTTCAAATAATCCAGCTTGTGGAGAACCCTGTAGATAAATAATATAATTTTTGGAAAAAATGCTCTTTTCATTCAATTTTTGTCGAACTAGGATAAAGGGTGAGCAGCTACCACCCCCCCCCCTTGCCCCCATGGGTACACCCTTGATTAAAAATGACGTCACATTGATTATTCTGTTTCTCTCACCAATCTCTTTCATTTGATACCTATGGAAATCATAAGCGCCATTCTTCGGTTGCCTATTGGATTTAACTTTGCTTATTATTGTGTTCCTCACGCCAAGCCCTTTTATCTGGTACCATATCATATGGTTGGCTATGGAAATTATAGATCGTTATTTTGCGGCGGACATCATACTGGATTTAGCATGACGTCACGCTGCTTATTGCGTTTCTCTCCTCAAGCCCTTTCATTTGACACGCATATCATACGGTTCACTATGGAAGTTATAAAGCGCCATTTTTCGGCGGCTACCATATTTGATTCAGAATGACGTTGCAATGCTTATTATGATTGTCTTATCAAGCCCTTTAATTTAATATCCATATTATAGGTGTCACTATAGCACTGATAAATCACTATTTTGTACCACCCGCCATATTGGATTCAAAATGGCGATAGATAATTTATTATGTATCATCACGAGAAACGAAGATGTATACAAAAACCAGCTCATTCAGTTAGCGATAACTGATTCAAAAAAACTGTAACAAGATCTGAACTACGCTGCCTATTGTGTCAAGTTAAATAAAAGCTTGTCCAAACCCACAAATGCGAACAGATCTATCATTCACAGACTGGAATATAAAATGGTTTCGAACTACTAAAAATAATTATAAATTATAGTTTACAGGTCTCGTACGATGTTTATATGGATAAAACGCTTGAGCTCTACACCTTAAAAATAGTTGGATTAAGTGTTTGATGATTGTTCTGGTAATTTTCAGTAACTATTAATAACTCATTATGAGTTTTGATCGATAGTCTGAGCCCCAAGTCAGGCAAAACAATTTTGACCAAGAACGTCGGTCAAGAGCACTTTTGACCGCTGAAATCAGTCAAAATTTGTTTTGACCGAGAGCATCACAGGGTGATGAAGTTTGATTATTTAGGAAATTTAAAATAACATATATATATATATATATATATATATATATATATACTACGTGACATATAAATCCGAACACCCAGTTTAAATGGTTTTATTTTAATAAAATTTTGTATAAGTACTCAATGAAGCATAATAAGTAAATGATAAAAATTTCAAAATGATTGCACTGCTTTAAAGCCCTTTTACCTTTAATAATGTGTGGATGCACCCTGATGTGCTACGCATTCTCCAACGCGCCTAGACATGCTTCTGATCAGGTGGTCAATGTCCTCCTGTGGTATCTCATTCCAGGCAACCGCCAACTCCTCTCGAAGTGCTTCTAGAGTCTGAGGAGGACGTTGCAAATTGAGCAATCTCCTACCCATCATATCCCACACGTGCTCAATTGGGGATCAGTCGGGAGATCTTGGTGGCCATGGTAACAATGTGACATCATTATGTTGAAAGAAGTCTATTGTGACTCTTGCAACATGTGGTCGGGCATTATCTTGTTGGAAAGTTGGATCTGCCAGGGTGTCAAGATAGGGTAAAAGATGGGGTTCTAGAACTTCGTGGATATAACGCTGCGCGTTCATGTTACCTCTGATGAAGATTAAAGGTGACCTGGAACCATAAGCTATAGCACCCCAAACCATAACTCCAACAGTGTGATGAACATGTTTTTCAACAAAAAACTGTGGATTCCTCTTTTAACCACGTCGCCTTCTAACCCTTACACCGACGTAATCGCCTTGAGTGGTGCAGACAACGGTCACTCTGGGATCAGGAATGGAACAGTATTGTCTTTAGTGACGAGTCTCGATTTTGTTTAGGCATGCACGATGGTCGTGCCAGAGTTAGAAGGCGACGTGGTGAAAGGAGGAATCTACAGTTTTTTGTTGAAAGACATGTTCATCACACTGTTGGAGTTATGGTTTGGGGTGCTATAGCTTATGGTTCCAGGTCACCTTTAATGTTCATCAGAGGTAACATGAACGCGCAGCATTATATCCACGAAGTTCTAGAACCCCATCTTTTACCCTATCTTGACACCCTGGCAGATCCAACTTTCCAACAAGATAATGCCCGACCACATGTTGCAAGAGTCACAATAGACTTCTTTCAACATAATGATGTCACATTGTTACCATGGCCACCAAGATCTCCCGACTTATCCCCAATTGAGCATGTGTGGGATATGATGGGTAGGAGATTGCTCAATTTGCAACGTTCTCCTCAGACTCTAGAAGCACTTCGAGAGGAGTTGGTGGTTGCCTGGAATGAGATACCACAGGAGGACATTGACCACCTGATCAGAAGCATGCCTAGGCGTGTTGGAGAATGCGTAGCACATCAGGGTGCATCCACACATTATTAAAGGTCAAAGGGCTTTAAAGCAGTGCAATCATTTTGAAATTTTTATCTTTTACTTATTATGCTTCATTAAGTACTTATACAAAATTTTATTAAAATAAAACCATTTAAACTGGGTGTTCGGATTTATATGTCACTTAGTATATATATATCTACGAAGCCTGTAAAGATACTGAGTTAGAATTTTAGGCTTTCCGTGAGAAGATCATCAGCAGTAAACACACCGAATGTCCCGGCGCAAACTAAACCAGGGACGTAGAAACTGGCGTACCTGGACCCTCTGGCAAAGGGCAAAGAGTTGAATTTTATAAAATAACATTCAATTTTCCATAAATTTTATCTCTAAAGAAATGTTTGTTAGATCACTCGTTTTGGAGATATTTAGGTTTGAATATTTGAGGTAGAATCCTAAAATATTCTTATGAATAGGTTTAGGCTCCCCTATTCTGAAAACACCGTGAAGCTTGATATTGGAAATTCTATAGGGCGTGTGAAGAAAGCTTACCATACATTAAACCTTGTCTATGCACGCCACTGGTTTTCTTGTTATACTTTTTCTGGTATTACCCTTGTTAGATGTATAAAATCAGCACAAGTAATTGTGGAACCAATAATAAAATTAGGTAAAATTCTTTTTATTTTACTTCTGAAATTATCGGCCTTTTTTCTCAATATTCTTTGGCATTTCGGATTAAGAGAGCTCAACAAGGAATATACCACAAATTATTAGCAACGTCGGAAAAGTCTGAGGACGAAGTATACAGAAGGCTTCCAACACTGTTCGTGTTACGCCAGGTATTTTCCAAAGAGTCAGAAAGTCTTTATGGCGTAGAACACGGGCTTGTGTTGAATCCAGAGGTGGTCACTCCTTTAGGTTGGATGTTATTTATTCAACATTATTTTTTGTTCACAATGTTACCTCCTCATAAATGTAGAAATAACCACGTAAGTTGTACCAAATGTTATTGTTGATTGTTGTCGTATTTAATTCTTATTAGCTTATTAGCTTATTTTCAAAATAATCCTTTTTCTTTGAGATGAAGTTTCTTTATCTATAAACAAAAATGAATATTCTTGCAAAATGAGAGTCATGCAAGGGAAGGTTTAATGAATGGTAAGCTTCTACGCTACTGATTGAGGATAAGACACGCATATCGTTGAATTAACGTTGTAATGAGGTACCTAGCTTTCTTCACATACAATATAGTGCTTCCAACGCTTCACTGTGTTTTCAGATTAGGGAAGGCCCTTTTCATACGAATATTTTAGGATTTTACGTCAATAATTAAAACCTAAATATATATCTTTAGAACGAGTGATCAGACAAAAATTCCTTAAGAGTCAAAATTTCTGGACAATAGAATGGTATTTTATAAAATGCTCTTTTCAGCGACAAGGCCAGTGGCGTAGAAAATATATCCTACTAGGTACCCCACTTTCTACATCCCTGATTCAGTTTGAATGTTTGGTATTTATTGCTTATGATGTGCTCACTCAACGTCTAAAATCTTAACTCAGTATCTTTACCCGCTCCGTAGATATTATTTAATTTCAATTTCGTAATTAAAACTTTATCACCCTGTAACTCAGTAGGGGAGCATCTTTGTAGCCATATTTATATGAACTTTTTTGTTACCTTTGGATGTGCTTTCTACCCTAGAAATATTGGCACGTCTTTCTTATACACCCTGCATAAAGCTTTCACAGCGTACTGTGAACATATTTTACTCCATACCTACACGGTGTAAAATAAAAAACCAAAACAAGATCTTTATCGTGTCGAATTATTGTTTGATTTATTTAAACACCTTGAAATAAAACAGTAGATTTAGAGTTCTCGCCCAAAAATCACCAGTTAAAATTTAACCAGTATCCATGCTGAACGAAACATCATAAAGTTCAATGTTTTTTTTCTAAAACCTTTCGCTTGCAATCTTCAATTATAGCCGCTATCTTTTAAAGTCTATAAAGTGTACCTCTCAGTGCAGTTATTTTGGAAAAACACAAATGGAGCATCTTGTCAGTGAAATTTTCAATTTGATTAGCCGTATTACAAATCCTCGGAAAATGGGATTCTACATGCTTGAAAATTTTTATTTTTCAATCACTGTACGTTTTCGTTTATAAAAACAGGATCCAGCTTACCATGAACAAAACCTTGACACCATCCACCTCTTGACCCCAAGTTTCCCTCACCGTCTTTCTTTTAACATAGTTGGTTGGTGCAGTATGAATTAAGATTAGCAACAATGGCGACGTTTCATCGCAGACAAAGTTGATCATAGTGAAGTTGAAACTGATATCAATGATACTATTGTAGTCATTGGGAGGCAGCAACTGAAGCGGATAAGTAAATATTGTAGAATTGTGAGTGTACAGGGTGAATGCATCGCCTAGGGGTGATAAGTTCGTCGGTGAAGGGCAAAGCAGGTGCCATAGTATTGCGAAGACCAGAAGAGCGACGAGGGCGTATCCGAGGTTCGACCAGAGACGACGTTCGTGCATCGTATTTCAGCTCGTACCTAGAATGAAAAAGGAGGATAACTAACGTGTAGTAAGTGACTAAGGGCGGTATCGTCAGTCGTTCCTGCAATTGCAGGACGCCTTTATGGTTGACTTCTCCGTGTAGCCCTCCGTTTAGAGGTTATGTCGCAAATATCTATTTGCATCAAATTGTTCACGCTTTTGATTATCATCTGTGTTCACAGCCTGAAATCTCCTACAATCCAAAAGAAAACATAATTTTACAATAGGAGAGCGCTGACGCTGATACGAATTAGGTGAAATCTAGAAACACCACAACCTTTCTGAATGACAGAAAAGACTCTGACACTACAATTGTAGGACGCCTTTACGGCATCCTTGATTTTTGGATTTTTCTTTTTTGAATTGCAGGAAGTTTCAGGCTTATAAAACAGATGAATCAAAAGCATAAACAATTTGATGCAAATGGATATTTGTAACATAACCTAAAAATAGAGCGCTGACACGGAACAGTAGAAAACTTTGAAAATCAAGGAGGCCATAAAGGCGACCTACGATAATTGTAGGAACGGCTGACCATACGGCTCTTAGAGCTTTGACTGAGTGGGTCAGCGTGTTAAAATTAAAACAAATTTCATCAAGAAGTATACCCGGATTCATCGATGAACTTTTGTCAAAACTACTCAAATGGCGAACATTCTATGTATCCTGTGCGGGTTCGAATCCCGACCCAAGAGAAATTTTTCTCTTGGCTATGGATGTTGTGATTGTCCGTAGGTGGTAGACGGTTTCTGACTGTCGAACGCAGAGGTACCGCCCGGCGGATCTCGTAGGCGGGGTCAGAATGTGTGCATGATGCATGCACACGTGTTCCCTCGCCAGAGTCCGTGTGGCGTTCTCCCTTTCCCCTGTATCTGCCTATAGCCCCACGATACCCCATGGGTGTTTAGGCCTTAGGCCTTCGTGGTGGTTGGAGTATAAAAAAAATTAAATGCATCATATCGAAAATTGCACTTCAGTTATACTACAAACATAGTCTAAGCAAATGGTAATGAAATATCCTCCACCCTACCTTCTGAAGTAGCTTTAATTCAAGTGCATAGACTGGTTGATACTGACTAAAGTTGAAACTCCTCATCACTGTGACCCATGAGGCCCTTTGAAATCCTTCAAGGAAGAGCCATAGGAGTCCGTACAACCAAATGTGTCCGCTGTGTGCCTTATAAGCATCACAGCTAAAATGTATCGTTTGTTTCTGTTTTTTGCATTTGAACAAACAATAAAGCAAAGCCTGAACAACCGGGACTGCTATTAAGAATTACAGTTCATTGACGAGAATTTTTGTTGTGAAAGAAATGGAAAAGGCGTTTATACGCAAAAAACAGAAACAATTCTTTACAACTGTGATTCTTAACGGGCACATTTGCGGAAAAATATAGTGACTCCCATTAAGATGACTGTTGAACGATTTTACTGGGCCACATGAGTCACAGTAATAGAGAGTTTTAGCCAAGCGCGCAGGCAAGGGGGGTAGTTGTAATTACCCCACCCTACCTCCCACCGACCGCGAGCCATGGCTGATCCTGATTCCAAAAAAGCAACTTATTGGAGAGTGGATTTTTGTTTTTGCTCTAAAGGTATTATTAGTGAATAATGAATTCTAAATAATAGTTCATATAACTTCTTGATTAAGATTAAAAGTTTAAAACCTATAGCTGCATGCATCTCGCAACTGTCAATTTTATCATTATTATTGTTTGATTTCATCCCTTCAGTATATTTGACTATATGTGAAATATAGTGCAAGTGGAAGCGTCCCCTTGCAATCAGGTGTTTTTCAGTTCTTTGTTCTCTTGCACCAGAGGTGGCGCTTGCACCACCTTGTTACGCACAAATAGTGGCGTTAAAAGATGCAATGGCATACCCTTACTGTGCGGCAGTCATCGACCACGCCAAAAAATTCAGCTAGTGTTTATGCAAAGTTAATGGGGTATTTTCAAAAAAAAATTTTTGGTTCCAAATTGTTGTTTTACATCTAAAAACTATATATTGAGTAATTTTACATTTTTCTTTGAACAAGAAGTAATAAAAACTCGGCTTCAAAGTTTAAAAATAAAGTTTGCCGCCAACTGTGTGACGTAATAATATCTCGCGTGACGTAGTAATATTTTCTCCGCCCCCTTCTTAGAATGTGACTCTACATTGTTCGGCGATTACAGTGTGACAAGGACAGGAGATATTCCCATTTTGTCCTACAGACTTTTTTGACAGATAATTTAAAGGTTATGATGCATTCTGGCTATGTTGTTGACGATTTGGTATAGTGGATACCAAATCGTCGTCCATACCGCAGACAGGCGTATCTGACAAAAAATCAAATTCGAGTTAACGGATTCAAATCAACAAGGTATAGCATATCTTCAATCCCGCAAAGTGGCGTAACTCTAAGTAGTTCGCTCATAGAGATATCAGCATAAAACTAAACGTCGTATCTCTCAGAAATGAAATACAATACACCGCAAATAGGCGTAAATGAAGATACGCCTACATGCGGTGTCCATTTTTTGCTACTCTCTCAGTGGTAACTAAGATATGTCCTTTTGACTTACATATACATATGATGTTTTGTCCGAATTGAGTCACATCTCATCTGAAAGCGATCCCTTTGCTGCAGTCGAGATTTATAATCCGGAAGATCCGGACTATCATCAAACTTGTGAAGTTAAAAGCTGTAAAGGAGATGTGTTCAGTTCCTGCTTTCAATGCTCAATTTTGCTATGTTGGAAGAATTTTGGAGATGATACCCTATCCTGCCAGGACGGACACAGGACAGTACAGAGCAATGTACTTAGCAAAGAGAAACAGGAAGAGAGGCGCCCTGAAGATTTTTTTGTAGAAGGTTCCCAGGCAGAACGTGATAGGAAAAAAAGTCAGAGAAGATAAAAGAAGAATTGCAAAAACGTTGAGGAATCAAGGCGAAACATATATTTCGCCTGTAACTAAGAAAATTGTGAAGGAGAAAGCACTTAAGGGAATCTGCAATATAGAAATGTGTAAGAAAAGAAAAAGGATGTGTTATTTGCTCAGCAGTCCTTTAAGAACAATGATATTCTCACAGCTTCATAGTCTTGGTGACCTCCAACAACAAAGAGAGTATATAGCACGTTTTGTATTATCTGAAAACGCAAAACATAGAACTACAAGTAGCAATGATCGACGCCGTAAACAAACACATTATTTTTTCTTACCTCTAGAAGGTACCCGACAAGTTTGTAAAAAAATGTTCCTTGGGACCCTTGGGATAAGTGAGAAAGTTTGCAGAACCGCAATAAAGAAATTGAATAGAACAACGTGGAGGTCGACGGGAGTTACAATCATCAAGAGACATAGTCATTAGAAAAGTATTATAGAGCACATAACTAGGGTCCCCAGAGTAGAGTCACATTACTGCCGGAAGTCCTCAACTAAACAATACCTACATGAAGATTTATCTCTGGATACAATGTATCACATGTACAAACTGGAAGACCAACAAACAAAGGGAAGTCTTTCTTTGTATAGAAGAATTTTCAGATCCATGAACGTCTCATTTCACAAACCAAAAAAAGATCAATGTGGTCTTTGCAAATGTTACAGAGAAGGATCGGAAGAAGTGAAGGCTAATTTGGAAAAGGATTACTTGGCCCACATTTTAGAAAAGGAAACGGTAAGTGAAGTAAAGAATAGCTGCAAAGAAAAAGCTAAAAATGATACAAAGGCTATATGTGCTACATTTGATCTCCAACAAGTTATATATTTACCAATTTCTAATCATTGTTCCGTATTTAAAAAACACGGCTTGCTGTCTACAATCTAACTATGTATGAAGTAGCATCTCGAGAATGTTTCTGTTATACATGGAGTGAGACTGAAAGTAAACGTGGTAGCTCGGAAATATCGACTGCTGTTTAATTATTTATTTCCGAAAAAGACAAACAAGGCAATACTGTTGACTTATTTGCTGATGGTTGTAGTGGTCAAAATAAGAATTGGATAATGGCTACCACTCTTTTATATCTCGTCAGTAATTGCTCAAACGAAGAGATATCGTTAAAATTTTTTGCCTCTTGTCATGGACAAAATGAAGGCGATTCAGCACATAGTGCAATAAGTTACGCTTTGAAAAATGCAGGTGAAATTATTGTGCCGAGCCAGTTATTGCCAGTCTATGCATTAGCAAGGAAGAAACAGCCATATAAGGTTCGTCCCTATCGTCGACTATCGGAATTTTTTTGACCTCAAAAAACTCGCATCAGACTTAAGAGTATTATCTATTCGAAGAGATGATAAGACATGGATGTGAATTGGAAAAATATGATGGAATTCAAAGTGACAAGTGATAATTGCAACAAAATCTATTTCAAGACTAGCCATAAGCAAACAGTATACAGGTCCATAACCTTGAAAAGAAATATTTCCGATATTTTAAAAAAGAGCTGTCTCCTCTGAATAGCGACCTATAAATATAATGATTTGACCTCACTTTGCCAAGGCGATAGGTCTGCCATCACTCTACCAGAACATCAACGTTTTTATGATTCACTACCTCATGAGAACCAGCCATAAATGTTTTTGTTTGAAATCATCTTCTTATTTTTGTTCTGTATTATCCTTGAGTTGCTTGAGTATTATTTACATCTGAGAATAAAGTGTTTTTTTATTTAATCTAATTTTATTCCATATGGAGTCAAAGGCGTATCTTCAAACCGCTAGACTATTGTAATTGTTAAGGTTACCGCAAAGAGGCGTATCTGGAAAAAAAAGATAAAAAACATGTTTAGCTGAGAATATGAATTTCCTTTCCTCTATAAACTTCTCAGAAGATGATGAACACACTTTTTAGCTATGTTATTGGAAGAAATTATGCTCATATTGTCTAAAGTAGTAAAGATATATGAACTCAAATAACTCTCGATATTCATTTTGCTTCTACTGAAAATTTATATAAAATCAGTTACGCCTGTTTGCGGTACGGACGACGAAATAAAATCCGATGCACGTCATAGGTGATGTCATTCATAAAAATCATGGTTACCAACAGTTGACTACATTCAATGTGACATTTCTACTTGAAGTTTAAATTTCCCCGTCTCGATTCGGTTGGTAGTGCCGTGCAGAGAAATGTGAGGTTGCCACTTCTCATTTGTTGACATCAGTTGCCATTGTCCTTTTGTCGTACTATTAGTTCTTTATTGTTTAGTTTGTGAGTTTTGCGCTATTTGAGCTTTGAATCGTTGCCTTGCCAATTAAAAATTGTTCTTTTCAGAACAACAGTTACTGTGAAGTGGTGTAAAGTATCCAAAATGCCAAAACAACTTAACAGTCGGTGTAAAGAGCTCATATTATTGAGTATCTACCAAAATCAGGTGTTTTTATTCAGAAAGGAATTTAATTTTACAACAAGTTTATTTATTTTTAATATAATGGTATTCTAGTAAATGGTAGGTATATATGTATAAACAATTTATTTTATTAAATTTATTTGCTTAAAAGAAAATGTGCAAATTCTGGCAACAGCGCACAGCTCCAGATCGATGACGTGCATCGGGTTTTATTTGGTATCCACTATATTATGATTTATCTTGTGCTAGTGACTGATTTGGAATTTAGCTTTTTAAATACACAATTAAAATATGAAACAAAACTTCGTGAAAGCAGATTCTTCGAATTTACCGAAAGTAGCTTACGAGATGATCGATGAATACTATCGACACAATGCAGACTTTGTCAAAGCAAATGTGAGAAATGTGAAAACACAAAGGTGGGTACTTTTTCGATTGTTAGGAAACATATTTTAATAACCATATTGTTCTTAGAAGTGGATCAAGCTATCTGATTTGTCCAGCTGATGCGAGAGGGATCAATATGTACTGTAAAGTGCCATGTAACTCCAGAATACAAGATCCACGAAAAAGGATAACAGGTGACAATTTGCATTAATGAGGCTGAAGAGAAGATTACACATAGTGTGTGTCATAACTACCCAGCTGGTGAAGGTATTGAGTTTAATAATTCCTCGTGTCTTTATAATATACTATATTTTAATTTCTAGGAGGGTGCAAGCATGGTGTAGCTACTACGGCGTTCTACAGAACCTTCTGTAACAAGTGTTGAGTGCTACTGGCGAAAACAGATTTTAGCAAAAGTAGGTTCTTCATTGAAAGCAGCAAAATTGAACGAGCTATTTAAGAATATTACCCCAGTTGCATCACACAATAATTCTTTCTTAAAAAAACTACTAGAAAAAGGATTAGAAAACAAAAGCAACAGCATTTTATTTCAATACCACAAAACTGAAGAGAATGCTATTGATAAAGTATCCCTATATCATTTAATAAATAAATTTGTAAGAAACAGTAGCAGCATCACTGCTGGAAATTTTATTCAGTATTGTCAGCAAGAAATGAATGATCAGCCTTGTAAAGAAATTTTAAATCAAACGAAAGATCAATCCAATACTGGTACATGGTTTGAGATAAGGTATGCAGGTATTACTGCATCGAAGTTTTATGAAGCAGCACAGAGTACAACATATGATGGATGTTTAGTAGAGTCAGAGTCTATTTTGGGTGCTGCAAAATTCAAGTCCACAAAGGCTATGAAGAGGGGATTATCATTAGAGGATGAAGTATTGAAGGTTGGCATGAAAGAAACTAATAAAAGTAGAAAAAGTAGGAAGATTTGTAGATAAGAGATATCCTATATTTGGAGCTAACCCTGATGCTGTAAATGTTGAGTTTTGTATTGAAATAAAGTGCCCATCAAAAGAATCGACACTTAAGCAATACTTACATGATGGAGTCATAGGTAAGAAACCTTTTGCCCAAATTCAACTGCAAATGCTATTGTTGGGCAGAAAGAAGGGATTATTTTGTGTTGCATCACCAAATTTTGAAGTGAATAAAGATGTATCAATTGTGGAAGTTGAACTTGACATTTCTTTTTGTAAGGATTTGCTGCAAAAAGCAAGTTTGTTTTGGGAAAAAGCTACCTTCCCAAAACTGATTCAATAGATCTACTGTAATCTACTCAACTTGTAATGTCAACAATTCACCTATAGATTTGACTAAAAGACAAAACTCAATTGCATGTGTGTATTGAAATATAATATGTGGTATAAACTTTCATGTATTAGATTTTATATAAATGTATCAAAGTTTTTTATACTAATATTTTCAATACCTACTTTTAAATTTTTATTATCTTCAAATTTGATTTATAATAAACTGATTTAGTAACTGAATTAATCAGTTAACAATGTATACACTACAACATACACTTAATGGTACCAAGATTTGGGCACATATATAAGATAGAAAAATGTATTTTGACCCAGGCAACACCAGGTTTAGCTGCTAGTTTATTCTATTCAGGTGTCATCTCAGAAAATGTATGATTAATATTTGCAAACTGTGATACATTATGCAAATGTATTTAGTCTATATTATGCATATATTCTTGTCCAATTTATTTTATCTGTTTATTTGATTGAATAAAGCACTTATGTTTTAAAAATATTTTCTTCATGAAATGTTTTTTTAACTATTTACAGTAGTAGATAGCTGCAAATGTTTTAATGTATTTGTAGATGAACAAAAATATTGATATATACTACCAGCTGACCAGTTAAAATAATCCTGAATTCCGTAATATTATTGATCTAATAAGC